ATGGGATTCTCGGAACAGATAAGTAGTGTTACGAAATAAAAGAAGGGAACGCTTATTGCTATTTCAGATTACTTCAGATATATAATGATGAATTGTGATCTGTTTTATCGAAAATCTATTGGTTTACAAAAGAAAAGAAACATCATTGTCTACAGGTCAAACAAAAAGGATACTTTATGTCAAAGAGAAAAATACAATCTCCCTCTTAAACTTATTATCACAGTTTGATTGTCTTTTATTATGGAGGGCGATCGTTGCCAAAATTCCAGACATGTAAAGTGTTCCTTTTTAAAATGACTTTTGAAAATGCGAACTTGTATGCCTACCATTTTTATTGTATGCCTCTTACTTCAATCTTTTAATTGAAGGTTACCGCCTTTATATAACAAGTTTACATATATATCGTAACAACTGACCTAACATCTAAAACGACAACAAATTTACAAGTTCGTATCTTCCATTGCATGCAATACATACGCATGTTTGCACACTTATAGATCTGTAATATACAAATGAAATGTAAAACTCGAATACGGAAAATAGAGTTTAAGAAAACGTGTTACCAGTTGTAGAACTACAAGAGTACGTTAACACAGTAACATGTTTAAAATGACAAAAGTAGATTCACAAAGTTAAACGATTTTAAGTCAAGCATAACGCCCCGCCCCTCTCGGAGTATTTACGACCTTCTATTGCGGACAGGTATAAAACGGCGCCTCTCCCATATTTTTAAATAAAACTGAAGGACAACATACGGCATTTTCATCACATATATATGTTGCATTTGTTACAAAAGTTTTGTCAATAGCAACATCACTTGAAAATTGCTGATTTTACCATTTATGATGAAGATAACTTGTGCATTACCTTATTATTTAACATCGTGTTCTTATCAGTTACAAATTATTTATCATTTTAGTGATTAGCCTGTCCGTGCTATGCCTAGTGCCCTGGCCATGCGTTTTGTTTGGGGACCGCCTGGGCTTCTTGCCACTTGTTCTTGTTGCTGGGTCATGTAGGGTTGCGTTCATTGAGCACTGCCTTTCCTTGTTGATCTTGTTTATCATATATTCCTGAGAAACATCGGCGATTTGGAATATTTTAGGGGAAACAATGACCAACTTCAAGGAAGTAATTTTATTGATAATGTAAAAACATCCAATACTCTTATTGGTATCATTGAAAAATGTATTGGCACAAATTTCACTTTCAACAAAAACTATGCAAGTATTTGCAAAAATAGGATTTTAAAGCGGCCACCGAGATTTCCTTTCCGAAATCAAGAAAATACTTATCCGTAGCACATATGTACAATCTTTAATACGGTATTTTCAGTATGAATAAAAACTTTTTGCACTTGTTCATTATCCCTCATGTACAGACTCAATCAAACCGAGTCTGCAATTCTTATGTAATTTTGTAGTGATTAATGCTTCCGAGGGATCATTTTGTTTCCAGATTTTAATACTTCACAACAGCAGGTGCCAAGTGCCGTGTGGCAGTTGTAAAAAGTTGCCCCGTACTTCACTTCAGTGTTTTTCTGGTCATTCGGGATCATTGATGCCAGCGCTATTAAGTGTTTAGAATTGAGTACCGTTCAAGCCGGTGCTAGGGGGCGTGTCACTTACGTGTCACATTGAAGGTTGCATGATAATCGTCACTTGTTCATTATCCCTCTTGTGCAGACTCAATCAAACCGAATCTGCAATTCTTATGTAATTTTCCGCTGCCTTTCCTTGATGATCTTGTTTATTATCAAAATTGACCAAGAAATAAAAAAAGTAAGTAGGGGGCGCCATGTTTTTTTCTTACTGAATTTCAGAGTGTGTGTTTTTTTACTTGGGGATCATATGCCGTTTTTCATGGTATGGCACTTACGTGTCACATTGAAGGTTCCATGATAATCGCCATATTAACACATCTGCGGATGTTTCAAAAATTGTACCAGTTCATGTTGAATTTTGCTTAAGCCGGTGCTAGGGGCGTGGACGATAAACTTGCTCTTTCTATTACCGTCCATGAGAAGGCTCAATCAAACCGGGCCTGCAACATTCTCAATTTTGTCGTTTTGAGCGTTCTTTAGGGATTCTTATTTTCTCTATTTTACAAAAAGTAACATGATAAACTTTTTAACGAAAGTTAATTCAGTTTGATTTAATTCATTTTTATTTTTAGGCATTATATAATTATATATCATAAATCGTATGAAGCACACTTTTATTTCAATCCAAAATTATCAAAATATATTACGAACTTAAAAAAAGTTTGCAGGTAACGCCGTGTTTTTCTTACCAATTCGAGAGTGTTATTTTCAGAGTAAAAAAACCTAAAAATTCCATACATCTATTCAATTCATTTTTATTTCCGAGGCACTCATAGAAAGCTTATGGAGTAATCTTTCATTTGATACCAATAATATTGGACTTTTTATAGAAATAAAAAAGTTAGAATGGACGCCGTGTTTTCCTTCACTTTATTGAGAAATTGGAGTGAGGCGACGGGTATTATACCTGTCCGTACATTTCCGTGATAGAAGATCGCAAATACTCAGAGAGAGGCGGGGCGTCATGCATGACTTAGAATCGTCTAACTTTGTGAATCTACTTTTGTCATTTTAAACATGTAACTGTGTAAACGTACTGTTGTAGTTTTACGACTGGAACACGTTTTATTAAATTATAATTTCTGCATTCGAGTTTAACATTTCATTTGTGTTTTTCAGGTACAGATATATATCTACAAGTGTGTAAACATGCTTATGTATTATATGCAATGGTAGATACGAACTTGTAAATGTGTTGTTGTTCTCCATGTTAGGTCAGTTGTTAAGATTTACATGTAAACGTGTTATTTAAAAGCAGGTGCCTTCAATTAAAAGATTGGATTAAGAGGCATATCATTTGCTGTGCACGAATGCAATAAAAAATGCTAGACATACATGTTCGCATTTTCAAAAGTAGTTTTCAAAAGGAACACATTACATGTCTGGAATTTTGGCAACGATCGCCCTCCATATTTTATAGCCACTGATTAAACGGTCAATGTGTATTGAGAGATTTTATTTTTTTATCAAATTATTTTTTAAAATGCTCATTGATTTACAAATTATTACTTAAGAGATATATTTTAAGATATCTTTTATGCAAAACTTCAATATATACATGATTTTAATGAAAACATGTTTTAAAGTGAATTGGTCTACCATTGTCCATTTTTGCTAGAAGTATTCCGTGATATTGCAAAAAAAAAGAAAAAAATAGAAATGTCATATTTAGATTCTCCTATTATGTATCTTCAAACGATAATATTATGTTGATATTAATAGCTTTTAGCGATTTAGTTAGAACAAAAATACTTTTGATAAATTAATATTGTTTTGTACTAGAAGAATTAATTATCTGCTATGTATAGATCTGTTATCATAGATCATGTACGAGTATCTTTCACTTACCAACAAATAAATATATGCGTCTTGAGTAATTTTCTGTTATCATGTCTGATACTAAATACTATCAGCATGATCATAGTAATAGTCGAAGCAAGCCATTGTTTTATGCCACACAAAGGCGGATACTTAATTTAATTGCTGATCTTTTCTTAAATCCAAAGTATTATCCAAAGTATTATCCTATTAATAACTGAGGGTTATTTTCCTATTTCTTGACACTTTTCATAAAATATATACATATTATATAATAAGTATCTTTATCTGATTATGCATTTCAAAAAAAGAAAGATAAAAAACAAATATTTATCAGGTTTCTACAATTTGTATCCGTTGTATTGACAAAACGATAAAAAATCATAATATTTGTAATCGTTAAGAATCAATGAAAAACACTGTAGCAGACACGTTATTATAACTTCTAAACCAAATTTGCCTCCTGTTATGTCCATCGCTCATCATTAGTTTTTTTATAACATTGACGCATTGAATAAATGTATTTTCATCCTTCCAAAGGCCAGACAATTGGTTTAATCAAAGATTCATCTATCACGTGTATATTATAAATTGTATTAACGATATTGTAATTTGACATAATAAGTTGTATTTGTTATGTCTTTAATAACAAGTGCATTTACGTTGTTCCATGGTTCTTTAAAACAGAATACTTGCTAATCCCACAAAAAGAGATATCTGTTCTGACCATCAACCGGGCATTATTTGATCAGTAATAGGTCTGATAAAAGTGATAAAAATAAGGAAAAGTAATTTTAGCAAAGCAAGTTAAAGATGTGTCTATATAGTAATCAAAACATGCATATACCGGGGGTAAGTTGTTGGCGGGATGTTAACGAGATAATATTTGACTGTAGAAATGTAATAAGAATAAATCGCACCAGTAAATGTTAATCTACGTGCAGATAACCGTTCACAATGTAGAAAACATACGCTAATCCGTAGTTCTTGGTACATGCATAATAGTTAACACAGTGTTTTAATGGGAGAAAAAGAATGATTTATTTATACATTGTTACAAAAAACTACGTCATAAAAATTTAAATAGTTAAAAGCTTCATGTGATCAAGAAGCAAAACACTTTGTCCTGATTTCGTATCAATCCCATTATTCTATGTAAGTTATTTTTAATATCTTTATATCTGAAAATAATATATTGTAGATGTAACGATTTGAACAAGTGTCAAAATGACTTCAATAGTAGGAGGTAAATAAATAAGAATACCTCATTTTATAATATATATACTATTCATGGTTCATTTATGTAACTATGTTTACAAGTGTCTGATGAGTGTTTGGATTTTAATTTCTCATAGGTGTTAATTATGCAAGTTGTGTACTTTTTCTGAGTGAATGAACATACATTTACATATTATGTAAAAGTTAAATTACAAATCGTAGGTTGCTTTGAAAGTTTTCTGTTTGTAAAATGTCAATAAGATTTGGGCTTTCAATATAGCTAATAAATGCAAAATGGTTCTAAGGAGGGTATTTCACAGGTGTTTTTGCCTTTTTTCTCTTTTCTAGTGAAACTTTTATAACATCAATACAAATTTTAGTAAATACAATCATTTATAATTATTACATGTCCTTTTTCTATTGTCATATTTTCCATTGATTACAAAGAAAATGATCACGCTACTCCTATCTAAAAAACAATATTAACTGGATGTACATTACAATTCATGGAACATTATCATGCAAAGTGTTGAACAATTATATTGATTTATGTTAAAGTATTTTTTTCAATTTAATTTTATTTGGTCTTTGTACCGGCGAGATGTTTGCACGTATATTGATACACAATATACACATTGTTTTAATAAAGACATATTAGGAGAATAGATGGCCTGTAGGTGCGTGACACAGTTCTTGATACTTTTAAAATTCAATTTTAATTAATAAGTTGGCATGTATAAAAGTTTTCGTTTTTGTTTGGTACAATCAACATTGGAAATGACATATACTTTTGTGTAACATTGTATGTTCCATAATAAAAGGCATACTAAAAAAAAAGTCATGGAATTATATCGACTTGAAATCATTTAAAAGGGAACTGAAAGTTCAACATTTGAAGATTGGATAATAAAACGTTATAAGAAAGTTAAGATACTATATTAAGGCAATATTAAATGTCTGTATTAGCTAAAATAAAGTACTAAAGTTCCAGTGATTTTTTAAATGTATCTTCAGAATGTCGTCGTACAGCTCTAGACTAGATAGTTTGATTGAAGATCTTGGTGGATGCGGTACCCTACAGAAACTTTTGTGTATTTTAATACACATAACGGTCATATTAGCAGCTTGGAGTTTGCTTGGTATGGCTTTTATTGGCTATGATCCAGGATTCACTTGCCGAAAACTCGATGTCAATGCAAATAAACTGTCTTCCATAAACATGAGCGAAATTTCTACAAACCGTCTTTGCTCGTTTGGGAACTATTCCACATGCAGTTCGTACTTGTTTCCTACAGGGATAAAAACTGTCATTTCAGAAGTAAGAATAAATTTCAATAAATTTTAAAATGGAATTTACCTAGGTTGCCACGACTGAGGCATTTTATTAATCCGGCTAGTTAATTTTATTTTCAAATGGCAACGTTTCACAATCAAACTTTACAGTTGTAATATTCGTATGATGTTGCTTCAAATTTAAGAGGAACGCTATTTTTGTGAAAAAAATATAATGTCTTATTGACAGTGATGAATATATTTCTATGTTTGTTTAGCTAATTTATTTTCTTTTTGAAAAAAGTGGAACCTAGTATGTGACAGAAGATGGATTGTAGCATTTATAACATCATTCCAGATGGTAGGAGTACTTGTCGGAAACATCATATCAGGTCCATTGGCAGACTCTATCGGACGCAAGTCATCATTTATTTTAAGTGTTTTAATACTGGCTATTTTTAATTTTGGTGGATATTTCTCTCAGTCATGGAAGTCGTATTCTGTTATTCGTTTTTTCATTGGTATAGGAGCTGGTATTTACTTCAATGTAGATCTGCCAATACTTGCTGAATTTGTACCGTCAAAACTGCGGACGATAGCATTAGCTTTTCCATCGGAGCCTTTATCTGCAATGCTATTTGCGTTTATAACCTATTGGTTACATGATTGGAGGAGTGTTCATCTGCTTAAGACAATTATAGGCATTCCCCTTTTGATGAATTTGTGGTAATATATTTCCATTTTCCAAACATTATTCAAGCATACCGTGCTGGCTTACTTTGTCACCATATTTTTACGGTGTTATATGAACAACATTGTGTTGATGCGTCGTAAAAACCAAACAAAACAAATGCAATATAAGCATGGATAATATCGGTATTTATTCTTTTCATAAACTGATTGGACTGTTCCATTTACAGTAGATTCCCAAACAAAGAATATAAACAATTTTGTATCGATGTGTATACATCATTCAAGTAAAAAAGATATAACTAAATATATTTTGCAAATTTCAGCTTTATACCTGAAAGTTTCAGATGGTTGGTTTCTAAAATGAAATTTGAGCGTGCTGAACAATCGATAGGCTTTGTGGCGAATGTCAATGGAGTAATTTATGTAAGTTGATACATTTCATAAGCAAGATTTGACTGTTCCATTTACAGTAGATTCCCAAACAAAGAATATAAACTATTTTGTATGAATAATAATAATTTGAGCGTGCTGAACAATCGATCGGCTTTGTGGCGAATGTCAATGGAGTAATTAAACCAGATCTTGAGGGTCTATTTGAAACAGCTCAAAAGGAAATTGCAGCAACGTCAGATTAAAATATATCACCATTTTCATTCACCATATTGTGGTCAAACAAAGACCTCCGAATAATTACGTTATCCTTAGCAGTACCCTGGCAAGTACCTTAAAGTTTTCATAAATTGCTTAAGCATATATGTTGTACATTTAATTGCGTTCATACTACCTTTGCGAGTACTTTGATTTTTGTTTAAATACATAATCGTAGATAATGATTTGCATATCTGACATGACATCGCCATTAAGCATTCATTAATTAAATAAATGTCTGTTCAATATTTCAGCTGAATCTGGTGTCATCGAAAATCGGTTATTATATTTATTGAATAGGAAATGAAATCTAACGCTTGTTATTTGATATTAGGTTTAATCACATCCTCTATATTTCCGCCAATAAATTGTGATTGAAAGAGAAATTAATATCTATTCAGTAAAATGTTTGCTGAGTTCTTGTTTTTGTAGGTTTGCAATTTGCGGTTCGTGGTTTTGTATGGCTTTAGGAATGGAGAGTTTTCCTGTTAACATTTATTTGACAATATTTCTTGTTAATCTTGTTGACTTACCCTCCGTTTCTGTCACTGCTCCTCTTATGAATAGGTATATACAAGTTTAAAAACTTCATTTTTGTTCATTTTGAATTGTATTCTTAATATCCAACAGGATAGTTGTGAGAAGTTCATACAAATTTTCTTTATACAATATTTATAATACGCCAATGTCACTATTTGTGTTGATCTATACTTTCACAACAACTTGTTCTATATATCGATTGTTCTACATTTATTTTGACTGATTAGAAATGCATATAAGAAAGCGCCAATTGACCCACATATTGATATCACAATCCACCAATCAGAAATGACCCTTTCTAACACAACATAACACAACCTTTTTTAAGAAAATAATTTTAATCCATTTCTTGAGCAATTTTACAATTCGTTTGTAATTATAATATTGTTTATTGTTATGTGATAAATTCAACAAACTGCCTTCATACAATATCAGTTATACTTAAATGTTACCTTTAACACTTTCATAAGTCTTAGATTAAAACAATGAGTATTTGTATTTATCTGTATCAACTATCTTTCAACCGGGTAGATGATTGTATTTTGTAATTACGTTATACTAGTATTCTGTGAATGGAAAACTAATAAAACTAAGAACATTTTCATATCGACTAAGTAAGACTGAGTTTCAACCCGGGAATAGCTTTGATTTATTTTAAATTCTAGTTTTTACCATGTGAAGCAAAAGTATCGTTCTGAACTTTTACAATCACAACCGCTAACAGAGTTACATCATATTCATAAAATACGTTCACTTTTATTATTGTTCCCAACAAGTATATTATAATCATTTAACCCAAAGTTATTTTCTTCAGATATGGTAGAAAGAAATATTTTGTGTTTCTTACTGTGACTTCTGGTATATTCAGTGGAATATCAGGCGTTATGCAACATTATGGTATTGTTTATCGAGATGTTATCTAAAGCTTCATATATATCATAAATAAAAAAGAGAAAAACATAATCCCTCAGCTAAAGAAAGAAATGTTGCAGGCTCGGTTTGATTGAGCCTGTTCATGAACGGTACTGTCAAGTGCAAACTACCGTACACGCCCCTTGCACTGGCTTATGCAGATTTCAACATTTAACATGAACTGGTAAACCACAATTACAATAAAAACGCACATATAGTATACTAAGCAAGCCTATTTTACTAAGAAAATGCAGTTAACAGCACTTTCTTTAACCTAACCTAGATGTTGAGGAAATTAGAAGTAGAGAATAGCAGTCTTTGAATATAATGATTACTGTGGTTAGCAATTATTAGTAAATGTTTCAATATTCGTGTAATTGACCAGTGCTAAATGGTCAGTACTACCATTTTTCATTTAGTTTGTTTATAAAAAAAACAATGATGTATATATTTCGAACTTCAGGAAACCTCAGCAGTCATTCAGTTTACGTCACCACAATATCTTTAGTATTAGCGCTCCTTGCGAAAATGACACTGGCAACGGGTTATTATGCACTCATTATATACACAACTGAACTGTATCCTACAGTAGTAAGGTGAGAAAGGCAATCGCATAATTATTCTCCTTTTTTCAAACCATTCAATTCCTTATAGAAACGGTGAGTTTGGTAGCATGAATAGCGAGTAACACACAATAAAATCAAGAAAAAATGATGGTTCTAAGAGGTTAAACCCTCATATTAAGATGTATTATTTGTTCTAATCAGAGGCATACTCGTATATAAAAGGTACATATTGAAAAAAAATGATCAAAAAAGTTAAAAAAGAGACCTCTAATTTGACATTTTATACATTTAAGCGTTTCATCATACTTTAATGAATATTTTTCAGGGGAATAGGATATGGATTTTTGTCGACAATTGGAAGAATTGGCGCGATTGTTTCCCCGGTTCTGATTTATCTGGTTTGTAAATTAAAGTGATTTCATTTGCTAATTTTGAATAAGTTGGATTTTGCTAATAAAAATACCTATTAAGTTAACTTTTTACTGTGTCTATTTGATGTTGTTTAACGTCTATTCTGTTAACTGGACTGATTGAAAAAGAATATGGTTACACACATTAGGGTTACATAACATAGAAATTTCATTGTTCGGGATTTTAAGAATTGGTTTGTTATTTAACATGGTAAAAAGTCCCATAAATGCTAATATTTATATGATATCTGTTTTAGGTAAGGTCTGTTTATAATGGAAATAATAAACAAGATCAAATAGCCCATTTGAGTTATGATCCACTAGGATTTAAAACATGGGCTTAGTGGTTATTATTTAGATTTGATACCATGTTAACACACATTTTTAAATTCCATCCTGTGTACTTAGTATGCACAAAAACAAACACTAAAAAAATCTTCAAAATGTATGCTTTACGGTATGGAATTTAAATTGATTTCGACATTAGATCGAGTAAAATAAATTTCGTAAAGACTTTGTCACATCATTAATTTGTATTTACATGGAATACTCACATTTAAAAATGTCAAGCTATTTACAACAATTATTTAAAGTATTCTCATTCCTGGTCTATCTACATTTAATGAATTTGATTAGTAGGACATAAGTTCGTTCTTCTCTGCATATGGATTATAGAATTGCAATTTGTAACTGCAAATAAGTAAAGGCCTCAACAGACGGTAGGATTTTGAAGTACAACACCAATTAAAACTAAGATGTACAGACAAATCTTAATGTGTGAAGGCTACTATTTCTTGATTTCGGAAACCTTATGTCAAGATGTAAGGGATAGGACATGTTCTATTTTGAAAATATTGTCGTACCGATTTTTACAGACCTCCCACAATGACAAGTAACAGATAAGCAAATTATCTCCTGATAATGGATGTAATGAATGAAATTCCAGAACAATTAGGGCTAAAAGGTAAACATAGTAGTAAGATGGGGTAAAAATGATGTTGAAAAACTCTTCAGGAGACCCAAAGTTGTGTTGTGTTCGAATCCAAAATTATTCCGAAAATGATTATGTCACGGTATTGAGTTGTTCTCTAATTACATGAATTTGGGGAGGGGAGGTAGTTTGTAGGCGGCCACATAGCTTAGTCAGTAGAGCCGCAGTGCTGTATTCCGATGGTCCCAGGTTTGAGTCTCGGTCAGGCTTCACATTAAAAAAATATATAATTACATATATATATTTTAATGGAGGTGTTTCAATCATTACTCATGGCGAAAAAAAGTATTAAGTGAGTAAAGTATGTAAAGGATCAATGTAAAAGGATCCTTTTCAGGGGAAACCTCAGAAGATTTTTACAATATAGAATTACCGTCTGAATGCAAGTGTTGTATAGCTTTGAAAAGTGTACATATTATCTCTAATTAGTGCTGTACAACTAAATCCTACCGTCTGTTGAGGCCTTAACTTGTTGGCATGCCGTAATGTTATGATATTATTTTAACAACACAAAGGACCACCTTTGATATAAAATCTATCTCGCTTAACATCTTTTACAGGATGGAATTTTACCTGGAACAATGTATTTTATCTGTGGAGTGATGATTGTTCTGTCGACAGGCTGTGTACGACGTTTAACAGAAACAAATGACGTAATGTTACTTGACTCACTTTCAGATCAGACAAGAACATCTGAACATAAATGAATATAAATCTGTAACGAGGTACATTGTGCAATTGCGAAAACAAGAAAATAATGTTTTTGAACTGAAACAGTTGATTTGGGATTCCTTTGATTTGATAATAAGTTTTGGTTTCATTTATGCGCTCATATCTGTGGAGACTTCTTATCACTTTGCTTTTGAAAGTAAAACTTTATACCAAGTTATACCAAGATAAGATTACTCAAAAAATAAATCATAGCTGAACCCTAAATGTGTTTCGCTGAACAATTTTCTGTAATCATATTTGAAGATTGTTCCACGTTTCTATAAAATTAATTGTAGCTTTAGCATTGGCTATAATAGTTTCTTTCTTGCATTTGATAATTACTTTATTTCGCTTTAACAGCTCAATTCTTCATCATGATGTTAAAAGATGTCTGCACGCAATAGCCGGTTATATAATTTCAAATGTAACAAAGAAGTTTCACGTAGCTCCGTCAAAATTGAACGTACCAATGTCATTGAGATGTCATTTGAAATAAGTTTGTATATAAGTGGAAAATTGGGCATTTTAGAAAGCACACAAATTCTAACAGCTTGAGATAAAAAGTCCTATTTTTATAGTTATTATTTATTCTAAAAGTTCATAAATTTCAAGACGAAAGAAAAACAGGACAATACTATTGATCAAATTAACAGGTGAAAATTAGATTTACCTTCTTTCTACAATCTTTCCAAAACCGTCAGCCTAAACTGTAATTCATTTTTCTCACGAGTTTAATAAAGATAAAGAGTCCTATTTTACAGTTATTATTGATTCTAAAAGTATAAACATTTCAAGAAGAAACACAAAAGGGAAATACAATTTAAACAGATGGAATCAATGCAAATCAGGTTTAACTTCGTTCCACAATCTATCGATGTCGTCAGCCTATTAATTTTATTCATCTTTTCTCACGAGTTGTGTCATCTCATTTCTATATTAAAACCATCCTTCGTTTTAACTTCAATAATCAATAACGTATTTCTGCAATTGTTTATTGACACATTGATAACGTAGTAATAACGCAATGCAAATTCGATCATATATAAATTGTATACTCCATTTAATGAATTCAAAAAAATATCATATTAAAAAAATATTTATGGGAAAATTTACTTGAATAAATTTATTTCAGACAACTGATACAATGAAAAAGTCATTGCTATGAATGGCTCAATTATTTTAATATATACACCCCAAATCGAATTATTAACTTTTTTCTTATCTGTCAACTTGCCATAGTAGGCTTGATGAAATATTCCAAAAATATTAAGTAAAATCTTGCTACGGTTACAAATAAGGATACACGTTTATCTACTGTAATGTTAGATTATGTTAAACCATACGAATAATAGAACGCTCCGATTTAAGGCCCACTAGGCCTCAGAAACAAATAAATGTTTTCTTCTTTAGAAGGGCTAATCTGAAATTTATAGCGTGTAGAGAATGTTAGTTACATGTTACCTGAAGAAAGTAGTGAAACGTGTTATATAATTTGTCATAAAAGTTAAAAATATTAACAAAGTAGTATTTTGACTTCCATACAAAACATAGATTCACGATAACTATCGTATTGCATGTAGTCATCTTAAGATAAGCAATCGGTCAAGATAATATCTTGCACATTACAATCCAACGACATGATAAGAGGATCCAAATTTAATGAATACAAATGATAAACATATGCTTAGAAACATCATTTATTGCTGATACTTTTCTTTAAAGCTAATAGATGTCTGCATGTTTGGGTTGTTAATTATTAAAATGCTCATTATTAGACTGCGTAAATCAATCAATCAATCAATCAATCAATCAATCAATAACAGTGTTTATCAATATACATTAAACTAGATAAACGTAAATGAACGAATGTATGAATGAATGAATGAATGAATGAATGAATGAATGAATGAATGAATTGATGAATGAATGAATAAATAAACAAACGAACCAATCAATCAATCAAAAAAAAATACAGAAGAAACACAAACACAGTGGTTTGCCTTTTATTTATTGTCCTTCTTTTTAATGGGTATTTCAAACATTAACATTGTTTGCAAGGATAAGTTTTACCTTATAGATTTAATAATATATAAGTTTAACTCAGATTATTTTGCAATTCATATTATTGATGAAATATTTAATATCTGTACTAGATAATGCTACCGAGATGTCATAAAAGCTATACTATAAAACGACGTTAAGAGAAAGAAAAATATGTGAGGAGTTTACAGTAGTCGTTCTAACGGCTATATTAGGTACATTGTATATTGATTACGCGTAGTAATACGATAATGTCACTTATTTCGTACAATGAAATGTATGAGACGAGGTGGCCGAGTGGTTAAGGCGATGGACTGCTAATCCATTGGGCTCTGCCCGCGTGTGTTCGAATCCCATCCTCGTCGAAACTTTTATGTCGTCAAGCGATATAAAATTACAATATTATAATAAATGTATTTACACACGTTGCCAGGCAACTTACCGCGTACATGGTTGCGCGGGGTTATGATTGTCGCCTGTGTTTATTTTTGGCGGGGATGTGCACGTGAAAAGTGTGATACATGTATATGGTATACTATAGGACTGGTGTGTAAAATAATCATTCGAGGATTTGCTTTTCGGCTGTTCAGACGAGTTTAATCTTAACTTTACATTATATTTAGAAATTGCGGTAGTTTATGTAGATTACACGGTTTTGTTTTTTCAATCAATGTGTATAAATTTTGTATTTAAAGATCAATGCATATAAACAATTTTGTTTTTCTAGTTTCAGATTCTGATGTATGATATGCCAGAAATGCTTGTTTAAAAAAAAAAAAAAAAAAAAAATTAAGGGGACGAGAAGACGTCCATGCTGGTCTTGAGCCACAGGATCTTCCCACCTCCCCCTCCTAAAAATAAGTAAAAGGAGTTAGGGTTGGGTGGCCTGCTCGCAGCATCCCGATTTAAGTGTTCATGAATATATAATATGATTGTATTTTTGTATGTGTATACTTTATTGTAATTTAAAAACATTGAATATAGGAGTGATTATAATTTAAATTAAAGAGCCTTTTTTCTTGTCAATTTTTCTCGTATTCGTTTTTGTAGAGCAATTGAAGTAACACGGACATTTTATCAAATTACTAATTATTTTTAATCATGTGTCGAAAACATGTGTCTAACAGTCAAGTTTTCTTTGTGAATAAGATTTTTTCATTTAAAGATGTTATGTAATTTGTTGTATGGGTCTTTTTTCGTTGAATGATACGAAATCAGTTTAAGTTTAACCTGTCGTTTGTTAATCTTTTGTGTATAATGTCATAGTAGTTTTGATATGAATAAGTTATGTTTTTGTTTTGTTTTTCTATGTATAAACTCGTCAAATAAACGGCTGGAACAATCGCTCTTAGCCAATTGCATATAAATTGTTTATTTGTTTTGTTGTAGTGTAGAATATGTAAGTTGAAGGGCCTAAGCTTGTAAATGATTTATGCTCGGTTGAAAGAATTGAATTAGAGCATAACTTTACAAATTTGGTCATTGTAGTTCCTCATTTCAGGCACAGTAAAAATCTATTCTATTATTATTATTTTTAATATTCTGTAGACCGTAACATTCTTTGTATTGTAGTTTAATATTTGTCAAATATTTTATCACCTCCCCGAGCAATGATACAAAAAGGTGAGACATTTTGATAACTTACTCGACACAACGTCTATAATATCAACACGAGAAAGTTCATCTAGTATACTATTTACTCAAAGCAATTGTCTAGCTTTTGGAAGATGAAGGATTATACTTACCTGATATATTATTTGCAGGGAACATACCCAGGCTTGTTGACATATAAGAAACAAGTATAGAATCAGATTGAAGGTGTTTGTAGTAAATTTATTCAGTCATTTCATAGAATGTTATCAACTGTTCAACTATATGATTGCAATTTACGTTATTAATATGTTTTCTAAATTTATTTACCATAATTTTGTTTTAATAAATGCATGATCGCCATCCATAAATATTTCAAGTTTCATAAAAAATTGTTTCATAAAGTTATGTTCAGTACTATTTGAGCTATGTGTATGACGGAATCAAGTCTTAGTAGGCGGACAACGTACTGACTGATTGACTGACGGACGACCGGTCTTTCTTCCCGAGGTTTCATTTTATGGTTTTCATTTGAGCCTCTTTGATCTTTAAACCCCATAAAGTCGTCTTCGGTGGAACTAGTAAAGCGATAAAATTGCCGAAATAATTTTTGATCTAATATCTTGGGTATAGTTTGTTCCTTTCACTTTTGTATAATTATAATTGAAAAAAAAGGAACAGTAAAACGTGCGGGGGAAAAACGTTTACTGCATTTAGGTTTAAGATGGGGTTTTTTCTGTGCAATGTTGTAGAATAGGCCTGCTTTAATAATAACAAAGCATTTGTACGATAAACCACGCATAGTTATATTATGATACAAGAAA